TTTTACGAATGTGAATTGTGACAATCACATGAGTGAAAAAAGGAGCTTTAGGCACGTATTGCATACAAAATTTTTTCTACTACCAATCAAATATGTTCAAAAATAAGTTTAGACAAATACTTCACGCACTAGTGCGTGAAGTATTTTCACTTTACGCACTAGTGTGTGAAGTAATTTACCAGAAAAATACTAAATTGACAGTTGTCAACATCTGTCATTGACATTACTTTACGCACTAGTGTGTTAGTGGAATTTTACATCTTCTGAATAGTGCGTGAAGTGAGTACTTTACGCGCGGTAGTAGAAAAAAAAATTTCGAGGCGTGTTTTTTTTACAACTTTTAGATCAAAATTTGGGTTAGTTTGGGTCAGTCCAAAAAAATTTGCGCGCCTCTGGGGCTTTTCCCCTGAGTGTGTGCACCGCCAACTTTTTCTCTCACCAGCCGCCACTGAACTGAGAGATAAACATATTAAACCGTATATGGTTGAAATCAGGTAAAAGGGAACTAATAAATAAGCGCCCAATATAGAGTCCGCGTCAAGAGTGACGGTGATGTCAAATGCGCACAAACCCAATTTTAAAGACTAACCGACCTATCGTATTGTTGCTGCCGAACGCCAAGCACGTGGTTCATTGTCGTACGGCCAGCAGGCATATTTATTCAATTTATTTTCTATCCAAGTTTTGTCTGAAAAGATACCCCGCTACTGGTTTCAGCTCACGGCCGAGGTCACGGCAGACAGCGAGAGATAGACGAAAGAGAGAGATCGGACCCGCTTCGCGCAGCTTTCCGTGTCGTCACCGTACTCTTTACAACTAACTAATTTTACTTCAGGGCTAAATTGTTTATTTATCTATATTTAAAATTAGAATAGTATTTAGATGTATTAATTAATTATTGAATAAACTAGTTTATTATTCAAACGTTGAAATGTAGATAAATGTGATTCCATCTTGAACCAAATGGAAAACGAATTGGTCTATTCTCACAATCCTTATTTATTTGGCTACTAGTTTCGGGGTCAATCAGTTACACCCCATCATCAGGCCATCTAAGGCTACAATAAAAAACATACCAACTCAAAATTAACAATGTTGCTCATTGACGTAACAATAATTAAAAAAATATAATTTAAAAAAAGAAACACTCCACAAAACATTTTAAAAATTATTTCATACAAATACTATACTTACATACAAAGGTTTCAGGACAAACACAAGGAAAAAACGATGCATCTAACTAAGTCAATTAAAATACGTAATACATATAAGGTCCCTAATCGTCAGTGATTCTCTGTTGTTAAATTTTTAATTTACAACAAATTATGTATTTTTTTATGTATATGTATATTATCTCTCTTGCTGACGTATATCAGAGTTCCAATAATTAATTTAAGGTGGCGTAGATGTAGTAAATAGATAAAGATTGTAGAATTCTTTCAATTTATAAGGTATGTAAAATTTATTTAAAATGTTTCGGTACTAAAATCAGAGAAGGCATGTGTAGTAGGTACCGTACTTATTCAATTGTTCTTATTATATTCTATATGAGGGATGTAAAAATTGGAGAATAATCCAAACTTGAGCGTTAACATGTTGTTATCTTTAAATGATGTATGAATTTCCATGAGTTCTAAATTATTAAGCTAGTGTCCCTTATTGGCGTAATGTAATACTTTAAAGTAATTTTCAGGGTCATAATTATGGTCACAATCTAGTAGGTATTTAGAAAATTGTGTACTATTATTAAAATTAGGTTTGTTGAAGCCTCTTAGATGTTCTTTTGTTCTAACTTTAAAACTTTTATAAGTTCTACCAATATAACTCGCAGAACATGTTTCACAACTCAACTGGTACACTCCGCATTTTTCCATTTTGTCTATACGATCTTTATTATTAATAATCAAGTTACTCAACGAAACCGAAGATTTAAAAGAAACATTGACAAAAGGTTTTAAAATATTTGTAATTTTATTCGAGATATTACCATAGTAAGTCAGTGACCTTTAAGGTTTAGTTTCAGAATTATGTAAATATGGATTAGTATAAATAATATCTCGAATAAAATTACAAATATTTTAAAACCTTTCGTCAATGTTTCTTTTAAATCTTCGGTTTCGTTGAGTAACTTGATTATTAAAAATAAAGATCGTATAGACAAAATGGAAAGATGTGGAGTGTACCTACCAGTTGAATCGTGATACATGTACTGCGAGTTTGGTAGAACTTATAGAAGTTTTAAAGTTAGAACAAAAGAACATCTGAGAGGCTTCAACAAACCTAATTCTAATAATAGTACACAATTTTCTAAACACCTACTAGATTATGACCATAATTATGACCCTGACAATTACTTTATAGTATTACATTTCGCCAATAAGGGACACTACCTTAATAATTTAGAACTCATGGAAATTTATATATCGTTTGAAGATAACAACATGTTAACGCTCAACTCACAATTGAGTTTGGATTATTCTCCAATTTTTACAGCCCTCATATAGAATATAATAAGAACAATTGAATAAGTACGGTACGGTACCTACTACACACGCCTTCTCTGATTTTAGTACCGAAACATTTTCAATAAATTTTACATACCTGATAAATTGACCTATCTTTTTTTACCTTGAGTTGTTACGGGCATGCGTCATATTCTTATTCAGAAGCCAGTTCAGAATTAATCGTTCCTTCTTTCTTTGTAACGTGTAATTTGACAAAGAGTAAATTAACACTTTATGTATCACTTCTGAACTCACCGCAGTGTCGCTTAAAATTATGTCACATTATACTTGACATATTCCTTTGCACTTTCATTGTGCGATGTTGTCCAATGCTGCCTGATGAAACATTTATTAAAATAAAAGTGCAAACGGTGTTAACATAGACTTTGAAGTTCTTTTGTCTGATTTAAAGCGGTGTAAAACGCGTTGTGAAAAAACACTTTTTTATTGGTATAATGTTCGATTTATATTGTTTACATTTGTTCTGCAACAATATAAACTGGCTACACTGCAACCCACTAGTTGCGCGCGCATGTCATCTTTCATTACATTTCAACTTGTGTTTATTACAATTAAGCTATCTCTTTCTATTTAGGCGAGACAGGTCAATTGGAAGAATTCTACAATCTTTATCTATTTACTAGTTCTACGCCACCTTAAATTAATTATTGGTACTCTGATATACGTCAGCAAGAGAGATAATATATACATAAAAAAATACATAATTTGTTGAAAATCAAAAATTCAACAACAGAGAACCACTGAAGATTAGGGACCTTATATTACGTATTTTAATTGACTTGATGCATCGTTTTTTCTTTGTGTTTGTCCTGAAACCTTGGTATGTAAGTATATTTGTATGAAATAATTTTAAAAATGTTTTGTGGAGTGTTTCTTTTTTTAAATTATCTTTTCGAAATTATTGTTACGTCAATGAGCAACATTGTTAATTTTGAGTTGGTATGTTTTTTATTGTAGCCTCAGGCGACCTGATGATGGGGTGTAACTAATTGACCCCGAAACTAGTAGCCAAATAAATAAGGATTGTGAGAATAGACCAATTCGTTTTTAGTTTATTTATTATATATTTGTTTTTAGTTTATTATTATTATATATTATTCCATTTAAAAAAATACACTTCGCTCTGCTACACTTTTTTGACGCACCCTGTATGTTTAAAACTGACTTAAGGCGATTTCGCCTTAGTTTGGTACCCCAATTTGGTCTGTCAAACAGGTACCAATCAATTTCGGATGGGAGAATGATGCCGTCATGACAACTTTGGTAAGCGCCTTGGTCTGTCAATTGCTATACCGCAGTTTGACTGGGTAGTGGAGGTTTGGTAGCTTTCTATCTCTTTCTGTCTCATGTCATACATATGTCAAAGTCAAAATGTACCAAATGCCCTACCTACTGAATTCGGATGAGATTGGATTGTTAAGCTACATCACTCACATACCAATTGGTTAACCATTCACCTACCAAACAGCAGATGAAAATCTGGGGCGAAATCGCCTCTAGTTAAAAGCTTTTGACAATTTCTCAAGACCTTTGTATTTGACACTTCTGTCAATAACGTCAAATGAAAAAGTTAGAAGGGGGTGACATTTATGATAGATCACCCTGTACTTCAAGTTATTCCGGACACTCTGTATATGCTTTGTCAATAATAATTTTTTTCTGGACAATAAAGTATGTACCTACCTACTTGATTGGATTTTGATTTGCCATACATATTTGCATGACTTATCCATTGTTATTTTTTTCAGTCACATAACTGCATAATGACTTTATAATAACAAAATTTTAAAATGAGAATATTCCGGTTCAAATAGAAGGATTTTGATAAATTAGTTTTTTCATGGAGAACAAACAGAAAAAGTAAAATAATGATATTTTGGCAAAATTACATTTATATGCAACAAACACATCAACTTTTATGTTAGTAACACCATTATTTTTATTATAAATCCACCTTCAATGAATCATGTTAATCGAATTCGAAAACAACAAGGCAACGAAACGTCAATTAAGCACAATTATTGTTTTCATAGGTATAATTGACAAATGATTACGTACATTTTAATGTGCAAATAACGATAAGATCTCAACAAATAAATCTCCTCTAAATTCATAGCAAAAATCATGCCACAATAAGGTGGATTACAAAAAAAAAAGTTATAGTTTTATAATAAATATACAAAACACAGATGATCCAATGGCATAGAAAAGAGTTAGAGCTTTAAATGATTTGAAATAGTTAGTTCGAACTTTTTACTAGCATTCAAAGAGCTGTGACAATCAATAAACGTGAATAGGTACTCCTACCCAGAAAACTTTGCATCAAAGAAACTTTTGATTTACTCAGGAATCACTCTAGTATAGAGACTAATCAAAATAAATTTGTCACAACTCCTTCTTGGCCAGCTACAACACACACCTCACATAGATCAATCCCCAAAAAAAAATATCCAAAACATGTTATATTAGTGTTACCTGCAATCGCCTCCAGACACTTAATGAAGGTCTCCATATTCCTCTCGCAAGTAGCCTCGTTGAGGTAAAAGTAAGTCCTGGCAGATTGTACTTTGTACCGTCTGTCAGCGAAAGTTTTGTCTACGTGATACTGTTTCAGGGAACCATCTTCTAGCTGATCACCAGCCGCTGGTACCGAAGCTCTGGAATGGGAGAAACACATCAGTGTCAGTGAGATAGAAGCTTCTAGAACCAAATGACAGTTTTCAATCTCTATACATATTGGAATAAAGTTGGATGTTAGCTTAGTATAATGTAATTCTTACTCGACTTCTCGTTTTTCAGCTTCCTCTTGGGAAATATCCTCTTCGACGGAATAATCTAGGATCGGTTTCACACCAAACGATCTGAGCCTTTCTAATTTCGGTCGGATTTTGAATTCGTCTTCTCCGGCCACGAAATGACCATAAAATGTCGCCTTCATCAATTGAGTAAATAGTTGTTCTCCTAAGATTGCCTTGAATATTTTCATCAACTGAAATCGAAGAGTATCAAGGATTAATTTGATTCAAGAAGTTAGTTTAATTAAACTAGTTAAATTTAGATTGGTCAATGAGGAAGTGAATGGGGTGGAAAATTTGGTGTTGATGATAAGTGATTAAGTATTCAAAATAAATGCATGAAACGGGTACTTTTTGTTTTTTGGTGATTTTAAAAGTACCTATTTGAAATTATTTGTCTTTGGGCATACCTCCTGTCAAGGCGATTTTACCCGAGTACAAGTCGGTTTTGAGAAAGAAACTAGACCTTTCTATTTTTGTATAACTTAAGCAAGCTGCGCACATGCCTGTTTTTATACAGTAGGTATCTAATTAATTCTGTAAATAAAGCTTACTGATAATAATGATTAACTGATGAGACAAAAAAATCTATTTAGTGTATGTGAAAAAATGGTCATTTAGTTTATTACGATTAATGGGATTTTTGGGAATCATTTTAGATTATTTCAGGTATGGAAAAACCTGACAATTTTACAAAGAAACACGATCATGAAGTAAGTATCCAATAACACGTTCTCCTCTACTAAAATTACAATTCATTTTATTTTATTATTATAACCCAAACCCATTCAATAACAAAAGGCACTGCAGGACTTTACGAGCTGAAAAGTTTCAATTTTATCCCGATTTCTCCAGATACAAGGCCCAGCCAGCAGAAAGACAAAAATCCTGGCACCGTTTATTACTTGTTCTTGGGTATCACGTTACGTCACACAAATTGCGTTGCCAAATTTGCTATCGCAAATAACTCGGAACAGTTAAGTTCCCCTATCGAATTGTGCTACAGAGTGTATTTTGGCAACACTGTTGCCGTCCAATGGGCTCTCGTTTCCAGAAAACACCCCCCATTCTGGATGGAAAACTGTAAAATCGATTTCGAGGGAAAAGGGGGGAATGGTGTGGCGTGGCGTGTTATTCTGCTGAACCCCCAAGACAAATCTACTATATTATCAAGTAATATCGTAAATGGGTTTGGGGTGAAGACAATTCGATTTGGATTCTACAGCAACAATGATATGGAAGCTATTATATTATAGGGCAGGCACAACTTAAATGTCATACCTATTCGATTTTTAATCGATAAATTTTCTTGGATAAGCGCCAACGGATGTAACGTGGCCTCATTTTATAAGCATGACGTTTTTGTCTAAATGGAATGAATATTGAATTTTGCCATTAAAAAAAACCGCACGATGCCAAATCAAACGAAACCGACATCTGCCTAATTGCATAACCTAATAAGGCTAATTTGTTTAAATAAATTGTTGTTTTTTTTTAGTTTTCCCGTTCAAACCAAAACATTAATCCTTCATTCGACCCATTAAATTGGTCAATCTTCTTCCAAATTATATAATTTTCGTATTCATTAGGGACAACAAAAATTATGGCTTTTCTTACAAAAAAAAAATGACTTTATAGCAATAGCTGCTAAGTGCCAGGATGAAATCTATTGAGGCTGTTAAATTATATTAAACGTTTCAGATTGCGATTTTTCTTTCAATGTCTAATTTGATGACAATCAACAAAAAAGATAAAACAGGAAGTTTTATTGTTATTACATATTAATTATTATGAATGAAAACTTTTGATAAGGAAAAAATGACATAATCATTAATAAAGATTTTAAGTAGGTACTCAATACCACTCTTGAGACAATAGTTATTTTTTATACCTACAAGACGATAAAATGGTAGTTTATCGTTTACCGGAAAAGTTAATTCACGAGCGGAATCGCGAGTGAATTAATTCCGGGAGACGATAATGGCATTTTATCGTCGTTTGTAAAACAAAGTTTTTTTCCATAGCCTAATTATGGACGCCTGTAGTATCAAAAATATTTAGAAATTATTTGAGGCGAACACCTCTATGGGGAACACTTTTGCATAAGTAGAAATTCGTTTGACAAACTGACAAATAAATAAAAAACAAAATATGTACTGTTCCTTATAATTAGTGCGGCTCCTACAACTTAAACAAAAGAATATACAAAAAAAAGATAAATACAAAAGTTGTAGGGTTTTATCTCTATTATCTTTCGTACATGTCAAAATTGGCAAATAACAGGTGCCAGCACTGGCATTTTTTTAATGGAACACCCTGTATATTTTCAGCTAGAATGATAATTTTTTTTCTTCTGATTTCTAATATAAGTACCATATATGTTGATATTTGATTCAGCTGTTATTACGCTATTTAAAAATGCATTTACATTACCCTGAATTGGGTCTGTTTCCGGTTTCTTATCAATGATGAAGCTTGCTCAATGCAATTTTAAAATGAAATAGCGTAAAAACAGCTAAACCAAATATTAACATATATGGTATATTTGAAATCAGAAGAAAAAATCTATCATTCTAGCTGAAAATATACAGGGTGTTCTATTTTGAAAAATTCAAGTGCTGTCATCGTGACAGTTGACACCTGTCATTTGCCCATTTTGACATATGCAAAACATAATAGAGATAAAACCCTACAACTTTTGCCCAGATCACCTAATACAGATGCGTAAGTACGTATATTTTCCGTCGACGATATTCTGTGACGAAGCCGGGCTGCCAGCAACCCCACGCATAGATAAAGATCGCCCGCGTCAGGACAATTAACGTGGCCGAGTGCGTGAGCATGTTCCAGCCTGTGTGTTTACATATTTTTGTGGGTAAAAATAGTTATTTATGCAACAAGTGTGTAAAGTGAACCTTTTTTCACAAATGTGAATTTTGACGCAAGAGCCGAAGGCGAGTGCGACAATAACATGAGTGAAAAAAGGTGCTTTACGCACGTATTGCATACAAATTTTTTTCTACCACCAATCAAATATGTGTAAAAAAAAAGATTTAGACAAATACTTTACGCACTAGTGCGTGAAGTATTTTCACTTTACGCATTAGTGTGTGAAGTAATTTAACAGAAAAATACTAAATTGACAGTGTCGACATCTGTCATTGACATCACTTTACGCACTAGTGTGTGAAATTAATTACTTTACGCACTAGTGCGTGAAGTGTAATTTTACGTCTTCTGAATAGTGCGTAAAGTGAGTACTTTACGCACGGTAGTAGAAAATAGTATATTGTGCAACAAGTGTTGAAAATAGCACTTTTCACGCGTGGGGAAGTTTGGTGGCACGAGCCGCAGGCGAGTGGCACAAACTCCACGAGTGTGAAAAGTGCGTTTCACACGCGTTACACAAGTTTAAACCAAAGAAGCCAAGTATAAACCATAGAGGTATTGAGTACTATTCGTGATAGCCTTGACAGTTTTGTAGAAGCTTATAAACAGAGGAGTAAAACTGAAGAAAAAAGATTGCATTTTGAAATACAGAAGTATAAATACGAACATGATGACTTTGAATTTTCTAACGACAATAATTCCTAATTTTCCTTAATAATATGATATGTAATATGATAATATGGGTTATAGAATGTATGTACAGTCCTGAAAAATAATTAGTAAAATTGACGTTTTTTAATTTATTTAAATTGCTATGATACAAATTAACAGCAAAATCGAGTAAAAACCGCTACGGAGATATCCAATATTTTGGACAGTAGTAGGTTTGTTCAGATTATATTTTCCCTTATATAGTTTTGTCTTGTTTGTCTTCCCAAATTGGCAATGTCATCAAAATTTATTTCATTGTGGTCCTGCTCTGGTTCATCATCCTCATTGTCTTCATCATCATTTGCATCTAACAAAGGGACATGTTCATGCCATATTATGTAAAACTGTACAAGCATAAATAATGTAGGCTGCCTGCTTGGATGGTACAAAAGGGTTCTGTGCCTAGATAGGCAACAGAACCGTCTTTTAAATATCCCATTTGTCCGTTCTATGACGTTTCGAGCACTTTTCAGGATGTTGTTATACCTTTCTTCAGGAGTATTAGGCCGGGTCGCTAAAAAAGGAGTTAAAAGCCAAGGTTCACTTCCATAACCACTATCTCCAATAAGAAAAGATCCTCGATTGCCTTCATCATATCTTCTTCTTAAGTGATTCCTTACTCCTGAAGTTCTAAATATGGCGGCATCATGGACGGAACCTGGATATCTAGCATCTACAGCTAATATCTTTTGATTTGCATTACATATAAGCATAACATTAATGGAATGTTTTCCTTTTCTATTGATATAATAATATACAAATGGAGGATGGTCAATATCGGTTCTAGGAGGTGCAATTATTTCAACGTGAGTTCCATCAATCGCTCCTATAATTCCTCTCATGCCCCAACTCTCATAAAATCCTATCTTATTTGCATTTTCTTGTTCAATATTTATGGGAAAATTTACCCAGTCGTCCAACAAATGTTCAGTAATAAGTTGACATACCTCAGATATTGAACGGTTGATGATAGGTTGGCTCATACAAGTCCACCCTGATAGTCCAAGTGCCTTTTGGAAAGACCCATGCCCCAAAAAATGCATTGTTGCTAGTACCCGTAAGTGCAAAGGAATCCTTGACTGTCTTCTCCTTTGTTGAGCATGGGGTCGGATAGTTTCAATAACATTCCTAATTACATTTTTGGATAATCTGATCATTTGTATGAACTGGTCATCTGGCAACTCGAAAGCATTTTGATTGTCTCTAAGCTTACGCCTTTCAAGACGCATTTTGTTACTAAAAAAAAAACTTGATTTTTGATGAAAAAGGTATCATATTTACCGTCTATAGTCCTCCTGGTATAAATCAAATACAAACTGTATTAACGCCATAAATAACTATTTCACTCAAACCGTTTCTTGTTGCGATTTTATGCGACAAAAAAGACTTTTATGTTTTAAAACTTCAAAAATGTAACAGTATGTCTTCATTTCCGGTGACGTAAATTTATAGTAGGTGTAAGAGTACTTTACAGCGCGATGTAAGTTACAGAATTTCTTTTTTCAAATCAACTTGGCCGACAAAAATAATGGCAAATTGGGTGAGTCCGATACCCCTAAAATGTTTGCGAGTCGCCTGCGCGCATACGTGCCAT